TTTTAATATGGTGATCATAAATCATTTCTAAGATTATACTTTTCTGTACACTAGAATATTTGTAAACCACAAATGTGCCAGCTAGTATAAGCCTCCCCCTCACCCTCTAATAACTCAGCCTTCATTGTCAAAAATGCTTCCTAACTAGAGCTCAGCCCCACGTACCCAGTCACATTGACTTGGGCAAACTTGAATTAGGTTTTATTATAGCATTCCATCTCTCGGTGAAACACTTAAGTCTCCTGCCCTCATGAACAGTCAACCATGGCACAATTGTAGGCATAGATTAGCTACTTAGGATAGTTTGACTATGCTTAAATCATTTAATTTAATGGGGAGAAAGAAAGACATGCTTTAATGAAGTTGGAGATATGAAGAAATACAGAGACACATTAACATACGTTATAATTTAGTACTAAAATGAATGAGGAAGGCAAGTGCAGTGGTGTGCACCTGTATTCCCAGCTACTCAGGAGGCTGAGGCAGTAGGATCACTTGATACCAGGAGTTTGAGACTGCAGTGTGTAATGATCACACCTGTGAATAGCCACTGCACTGTAGTTTGGTCAATGTAGCAAGAACTTATCTCTAAAAATAAATAAAATGAATAAAAAAGGATTTAAGAGCATTTCAATTGATTGTATTGATATTTTTGTCTTGTTCTTATTTTTGCTGTACTTTCTTCCCTTGTGTGTCATACTATTGAAGCCTTCAGAGAAAATATTTCATTTTTTATAATATTTTATTTGAAAAATAATAGTATTAAAGAACAATTTGTGTAAGAAGGAGGAAGTGTGGGCCCAGGTGAGTAGTGTCTTGAGTCAGAGAGATGAAGTGAACTCCAGGACTATTCTCTGAAGCACAGAGATAGAATGGGTCAAAGACTGAACTCTGCTGATTTTAGAGGTCAAGATCTCTGTGGCCTTTATCAGTGAAAGAGTAGCTGGCCAACATCATATTTTTACCTTGTTTTCATTTTCTTTTTTTTTTTTTTCCACAAAGAAACTTAGGGCTGCCAAGAAATATTTATTTATTTATTTAAATATATTTAGGGGGTACAAGTGTTTTTTTTTTTTTTTTTTTTTTTTTTTTTTACAAGGCTGAATGGCTTAGTGGAGATTCCCCTTCTCAGTCTCCAAGGTCCATTACGTCACTTTGTATGACCAAGCATACCCATTGCTTAGCTCTCGATTATAAGAGAGAACATGCAATATTTGTTTTTTTATTCCTGGGGTACTTCACTTAGAATAATGACCTCCATTTCCATTTAATTTGTTGCAAAAGACATTATTTCGTTCTTTTTGATGGCTGAGTAATATTACATTTTGTGTGTTTGTGTGTGTGTGTGCATGTGTGTGTGTGTTCTACATTTTCTTTATCCACTCATCAGTTGGTGGGAACTTAGGTTCCATATTTTTGCAATTGTGAATTGTGCTGTGATAGACCTATGGGTGAAGGTGTCTTTTTTTATAAAATGACTTCTTTTCCATTAGGTAGATCCCTAGTAGTGGGATTGCTATTAATAGATAGAATGGTAGGTCTACTTTTAGTTCTTTAGAAATCTCCATACTATTTTCCATAGAGGTTATACTAATTTATGTTTCCACCAACAGTGTTTAAGCACTCCCTTTTTGCAATATGGGAGCCAGCATCTATTGTTTTTTGACTTTTTAGTAATGGTCATTCTGACAGGGATCATGTGATGTCTCATTCGGGTTTTGATTTGCATTTCCCTACTCATTAGTGATGTTGAGCATTTTTCATGTTTGCTGGCCACTTATTTCTCTTCTTCTGAAAAATGTCTGTTAATGTCTTTTGCCTACTTTTTAGTGGAGTTATTTATTTATTTTTATTGCTAATTTGTTTGAGTTCCTTATGGATTCTGGATATCAGATATATAGCTTGTAAATATTTTCTCCCATTATGTAGGTTATGTGTTTACTCTGTTGATTATATCTTTTACTGTGCATAAGTTTTTAGTTTAATTAAGACCTATTTATTCATTTTTGTTTTTGTTAAA